CCACGGAAGGAATTTTTTAAATTTAAATAGCTATTTTGAAACCTTAGTCCATTAGAAACAATAGAAAACCAAAATCCATTATAACGTTAATATTAAAATCTTCAGTCGTAATAATGAAAAATTCATGAAAACTAATTTACAGTACCTTCAAAAAATCAATGACTCAGACAAAAAAACATGACTGCTCGTATCAGTGCAACGTCTTAAACGTTCCGACTGCACGTTAACAGGTCTCGAATAGTTTTTGGTGAGTGAAGTTTTGATAAACTATAGTTTTTGAGCTAAATAATAGGATCGTGTATTGAATTAAAAACACCAATTAACCGAGATTACGTTAAAGGCATAACACACAATATATACAGTGAGAATACATGCAGCGTTAAGTGGTCATAATTTAGTAGCCATCCCAAAACGCTTTCGTTCTAAAATTACTGCCATCGCGTATTGTCAACGCTCTGGAACTGCGGAAATAATGAGAAATTAAAAAAGTTTGGGTTTTCTGACCATCAGTATAGTCGATCCTTGGATATCGAGTCTTAAATGTAAGGATAATCGTTTACGCAAACTGTACTTGGCATTACACCACCAAGGTAAATTAGAAATCAAAATTTTCCGGATGATTCGCAGACACGACGAAAACCACAGAATATTTGTTTCTAAGACTAAGAGGAAAACTAGTTGAAATAAGAAGCAACGTGCGCGCTTTAAGCTACGCACACTCACCTTAGTTCAAGTGCAGAAACCCCTAGCCGAACGAAGTATACAGGTCTTTAGCTCAGAAAATTGGCCTTGTAGTGGTATTATAAGTTGTTGCATATATACACGGCGCTTTATTGTCGTTTTGTTTGTGTTTTGTATTGAATTAAGGTTTGATACGTCACTCTCTTCAATTGTAAAGCACGTCGTAACAATTTTTCTCAATGAATCAAGAATTAGGTCGGAAAGTACAAAAACTTCTTGAGTCTCGGCGACATTTGAAATTTTAGCTCCTCAAGGATCATAAACATATTCAAGAAGCCATTGAGAACAAAAAGAAAGAGTAATTGTTAAGATCTACATCAAGAACGCAGATATTGTCCTGGAAATTTTTTTTTTAAAAAACGATGAGATAAATCAAATAGCAGAAGAGGCCACTAATAGAGATAAATTTTGCGAAGAATTGGGTTAGTGCCTTGACCTGGTGACAAAGGAACACGATGAGGTAATTCAGAAAGCTATGAACTATGTAGTATCTGAAGAACAAGTAAGCTCTGTTTCATCGCGTTCAGGGGACGTGCCTTCCTCGAAGTGTTCCGAAAAACCTTGCAGTTCACATCGGACTAGGGCCTCAGGTCAGAGTAAAACACTCTCAATGACTTCCAGTCAACGAAAAAAAAGAGTTAATCTTGGCTAAATTATAAACAGAAGAGATCGAGAGACAAATTGAAGCATCAATGCGCTGACTAGAAATCAAGCAAAGTTTAGAAGAAATACAAATCCGCAAGGAGGTTAGAAAAAATATGCTGAAGCCAAAACAACTGAAGCTGAATTGGAGGAAGACTCCGACTATATTGACAAGCTTGCTAGCTCGATAAGCTCTCATAGGGAAAAAGCAGATAAATGCACAAAAAATTGGGTTTATAATGTGCCGAGTTTGAATCCAGTAGTGACCGTAACCGAAACGACTGCATACACTACTGGATTGAAAACGGTTTCCTATAGCGCCCCGGTGGATGTCGTTCCTGTGTGTAACGCTCAATTAGGTGGCTTGTCTTCTACGTTGAAGCATGGGGCTGAAGTACTCCTCATGCTTCCTAAATATCTTACGCAGATTGGTGTTGGCAAAATGTCGTCGAATATGTTCGAACTTGAATCAAGATGTAACACAACCACATCGGTTTCCAGATGCAAACCAATGCGCTAATGCTGAGCCTGCCACGACTGCTACTTTTGAAAATTTTCTTTCACCTTCTTATACAACTTTAACTCCTCATACTGCAGTTGTTTCAGCATTACCCTTCGTAGATCATCCCACCTAACTTCAGTCAGTTTTATAACCTGAACCTCGTATCTTGATTCCCTGCAACTGCAACAATGACCCCCTAAGTTTGCAATTAGTTAGCTTTGAATGAGTCATCGCACGTGTTTGAGGCAGTAAAATCTGTAGCACTCAAAAATCCGTAATGTTCCCGTTCAATGGCTGTGGAGCAAATTACTATTTCATTCCGCCACACGAGCAAATTATTGATTAATTTATCTGGGGCAGCTTCAAAGATATTTTAAGAATTTTGCAAAAATTTTGCAAAAATGATATTAATTAATGGGCTATCTTATAAGATCTGGTAAAACCTTATAATATCTGACAAGAATTCCCAACTTTACCATCTAGAGTATAATCTTCTTGTCAAACAATTATTTTTTTTTGTTCCCAGTTTCGACCTCTTTACAAAAAGTTATGGAACAGTGTACTAGGTGCGGTTGCTTATTAACTTTGACTACCTTACAAAAAATCTTGTAAACAGCTAAGATTGAGACCATGTTAAAGCCTTTAAAGCCGTGATTTGGAGCTTGGGGTTTTTGGCTCTTTCCCTTCTTTGATATTCGCCTCTTTTCACTCTTCGTAAAATTTCAAAACAAAGCTGTTCGAAAATTGTTCACACGTCAATTTGCATGTTAAAAATGTTAAAAGAGTTTGTTCTCCTGTTCATGCTGACACCCCCACACAGTAAAAAGAGAAAATAATCGATTATTTTATTTTTAAAATAGCACTGTTAGCAAAATTATAATTAACTATATGCGCCAATTCTAGATGTTAAGCAAATTATAATTCACTATAATGATACCATTTTTGAAGACATTTCATTATATGTAATTGGTTATAAATTTTCCGAAAATCTCTTATAATCTCTTATAATCTATCATAATCTATTGAAATAGATTAGGATCCCTCTTTCAATCAATATATTTTTTCACAGCAAAAATTAATTATAATGGATAATAATTTAGCTATTCTGCATGAAAACACAGTAAAAATCAGTAAAAACGAAGGATCAGTAAACCAGGTGCGGATCTAGGATTTTGTGATGGGGTCTTTTAAGCCCTATAGAGGTTGACTAGATTGATTCCAAACTCTCCAAGGTATTAAAAATACCCTGTTTTGGTCAAATTTTATGCGCCGCACGCAAAATTTTGAAAAAAACGGTCCATAAAAAGGCATTTTCAGTCACTTGTAGGAAAAACTTGACAAAAAAAGTTCCTTTGTTTTTGACGCGCACCGCTTCAAAGATAATAGCACGCAAAACAAAACAAAACATCAACGAAATGAAGCGTTGCTTTTTCTGAATCACAATGGATTATAATCCATTATAATGGATCATTATTCGAAAAAGTTTGAGAAAGAAAATTTTCAGAAAATAAACGATTTTAATCGATTATGATTGAGTATAATCGATTATGATGATTTTTATTGTTTTGAAAAATAGTAACATTATACTCCATTTTTAATCGATTATAATCAATCTTTTTGAAATTTATGGAGACTGACAATAAACTCATTCATAGTCTATTATTTTCTTTTTTACTGTGTGGGCATGTTTTAATGCAGCTTATAACATGAAAACTCATTTTAAAAAGCCGTTCTTATACTGTTTTTCAAAAAAATTAATGGGGGAGACTGAGAAAGAATCTTAAATTCAATTATAACTCTTTTAATTCATTTTTGCCTCTACCTTAGAGAAAAAACAACTTACATCTGTAATTTTATATTCGTAATTTTTGAGATTTTTGATTTTCTTTACCTCATTAGCTGTGGTCGCAACCGCTAATTCTTGTGTTAATTTTTTGAATTAGTTACTATTTCAAGATATTTAGGCAAATTAGCGTACGCAAAATAACAAATTAGTTCTCTTGCAGTTTAGCAATAATCTTTGCTTTTAACTTCAATTCATCAGCTAAAACCTCTTGATGGGAAAAAGATTCCTTTGTCTTGGTGAAAAATTTCTTAAACATGGTGTTGGAAATTTTGTTTATTTGCAAAGAATTCGATGATTCTTTATAATTATTTTGCTTCGACTGACTTGTTCTTTCCCCTTTTCCCCCACCTGTAAACTTTAGAGGGAACATTTTTGTTCACATTGTTAGATTGTTATGAAAATTGACATAGGGACTAATCAAGCTAGACAAACAGGCTCTTTTCGAGCCCCCCCCCCCCCCCCCCTCGGAAAATTACAAACTTAAGCTGTTTAAAAATTGTGCATGTAAAAAATGTTATAAAAATTTGTTCACTTGTTCACGCTGACACGTTTAGTGCAGTTCATAATGAGAAAAAGCTTTTGAAATTCATTTCCATATGATGGATTTCAGAAAAAATTAAAGGGGGGAACTGGAAAAGGGACAACAAACATATTAGGTTTTCATAAATAACCTTCTAAAACCACTTGCTACTCCTTTAAATTGATGATCGGTTTTTCCCAACAAAAAGTATTAGCTGATGGATCGAGTTAATAGCTAAAGTTTTTGCTAAATTGCAATAGAATTAAATAGTTTTTTTTGCGTAAGCTAATTTGCCTAAATGTATTTTGAAATAGTAATTGAAATAAGCTTTATCGGGGTTAGATAGATTTTTAGATTTTGAGCCGGAGTGTGGTTATATCACTTACCAGGATCTCCTTCGCTCATGGGTATGAGTCTTCCAGGGTGTGTGCGACTAAAAGTACTCTCGAACACCATCTGCGTTTTCCCATCGAACTCTTTAGGCCCTGAAAAACGTTCACTCATTAATTTATTTCATGCACAGTGAAAAGATGTCCCATAATACCAACCAGAACTAGCTCACTTATCTATCGTGGAGATTTAAAAAATAGCTTCAAACTTTTAATCACATTTTATAGGTGATTAAAAGTTTGAAGTGAGGCAGACATAATTGGCGGGTCACTGCAAGCCTAGTAGCAAAAAATTGTAACCTCTATCAATTATCCTATTACGCTGGGGCTATTGTTGCTGGGAGTTTTCTTGCTGTGGTCTTTACCCCCTTTTGCTGGGAAAGACCCTAAGGGGCTTTCATGGGCAAGACATTAAATGACGTTGCAATCTCTTCAAGCATTTGAAACTAACTGGTATGAAACTTAGCGGGCGTCTTGATTTCAAACAACTCGACTTCAGATAGTCTGTTCACTGGTTTGTTCTGGTCCTTCCCCATTCCACACGCTCGAAGATGTTCGTTTTCAATCGTATGCGCAGTTCCTTTCGGACACAATTTCAACACTTCTTCCTTGTCGAACACTGGTTTGTCGAAGTTGACCACTGCCAGATCTGCAAACCGGTTCTGGTACACGTAGTGTTCGTGCATGACCACATTCTTCTTGAAGTCAACCGGAATGGTTTGTTTCTTCTTGTCTAACGTGTGCACTGTCAGTTGAGCTATAAAGATTTATGATTTAGTTATAATTACTTCTTTGTCGCTCAGGACTGGGAATGAGCGCTCTTTCCAGTAACTCCCTTATGTTTTTTTTTTCTTCTGAATGTCGATTTACAAAAGCTTTTTGAAAATAAAAGCCTTCAACGTCCTTAATTGCAGATAACTGCATATGTATGTTAAGGTCTCACCCCATCTGTTTCGATAAAAAAAATGTAAATCTACTTAAATTTTCAGCTCAAAAAGTTTGAAATTGCTTTTTTTAGGCAGTGTTTTGCTTACATAACATGCGCGTTGCTATCAAATTGATTTACATGCTCTTAACGCATAATTTTAAAATAAAAAAAAAAAAATTTTTTGGCTACTTCTGGTAGCCTATTTGCATTGAGTTCTCACATTTGAATATCGGGTCGAAGCAATGTGCAGCTGTGAGGACTGAGTAGTGTGATATGATAGTTCCGCCACACCTCATCCCGCTCTTAGGGTCTTCCAGCTTCACAAAGAAGGGTCTTGGGGACTGACTCAGCAGAGCCCCGTTAATCCTCTTCGCAGCTTCATCCTTGCTTTGAAATCTGCACTCTCCGAGGCTGAAGATTGCAGTCAGCGTCAGAAGAAACTTCAGAAAAACGTCAGAGGAAAACATCGTTCTACAAGAAGTCACTCGGTAGCTTTGAAACAGCTTCTGGAGCAGTTTTTCTCGAGTCAAATGTTTCTGGTTACTCTTTTCTCAAAAAAAGAACAAGGTTGAATATGAAAAATGCTTATTTTCTAGAAAAAAAAAATGAAGATTTCTCGACGAAGGGAATTCCGATAAAAAGTGATGCTTCCCGAAATAAAGTGAAAATTGGTTTCTAGGTTACTGGACTAGGTTACTGATTGGTGATCAAGCTAATTGAATTGTGATTTCTGTAATTGACGAAAGACTAAAAGCAAGTTTGCCGCCATACATTTCCCTGAGTACCAGGCAAACAACGTCACTTCTTATCTTTTTACAGCTCAGCTGTTTTGATTTGATGACTTCATCAAACAATGAGTCATATGAGTTTTTACCAAAATATATTTACCTAGACATCAGCTAAAAACTGGGCTCTTTTTCCTTTTCCCCCACCTGCAAATTTTTACATGTTAATTTGTTGACTACATTGTTTGATTGTTATGGAAGCTCGTGTGAGGTGGGGGGAAAAGGTAAAAGAGCCAAAAACTGTTGAAGCTAACTCACCAAAAGCCCCTGGACCATGTCCAAAATCCTGTTGTAGTTATGATACTAAGAAAAACTAAATCTTTGAGTAATGAGGATTTGAAAATTAACTTGCTGTCTGGGCTCTTTTTCCTTTTCCCTCCCAACTGCAGTTTTTATAAATAAAACTAATGTTCACATTGTCCGATTGCCATGAAAATTGGCATGCAGATAAATTAAGCCATGACAAACATATTTGGTCTTCATAATCAACCTTGTAAAATTACTCGTTAGACCATATTGATGCTTGTGTGAGGTGGAGGGGAAAAGGAAAAAGAGCCGCTGTCTGCACTAGTTTTATGGGCCTAATCGATTTTGGCTCTTTTTCAGTTCGCCCTTTTTTGATTTTTTAAAATTTCAATAAATGAAAGTTTGTTCAAAATGATGACTCTTTTTCCTTTTCCCCCCACCTCACACAAACATGAATTTTATAGTCTAACGAGTGGTTGTACAAGGTTAATTATGAAGACCAAATATGTTTGTTATGGCCTAATCAGTCTGCATGTCAATTGTCATGACAATCGGACAAAGTGAACAGTTATTTCAAATTGAAAAATTTGCAGGTAGGGGGGAAAAGGAAAAAGAGCCAAAATGATTTTTCATGTTATAAACTGCATCAAAACGAGTAAACAACAATTTTCTACAACAAGTCTTACGTGCAGAAAAGCGTTTGAACATTTTTTGAACTGCCTTTTTTTAGTTTTACGAGGGGCGTGGGAAACTGGAAAAGAGTCACGATGTTTCTTTGATTTCATTACTAGTCTCCGTAAAAATCAAAAGACTCTTTGTGCTTTTCCCCCACCTCATATAAACAGCAATTTTATGATGTAACGAGTGAGTGTACAAGGTTAAATATCAGGAAAAAAATTGTTTGTCATTGAGTAATTAGTCCGATTTTAGTTTTTGTAACAATCAGTCAAAACAAACTGAAAAATTATTTTAAAAAATACGCAGCGGGCGGGGGGAGGAGGAGAACAGCCGAAACTAAAGAAATTAATCAAAATCGATTAAAATGTATTACATTTTTTGTTAAATTCTTTGAACCCATTTTAATCGATTATAATGTATTAAGAAATTTTTCCCTCCTTGTACCCATCCTATTTTCAGCCAGTACCATCACAACACACGCGGAGCTAATTGAGGGTGATAAACTGGGGAGAGAATAAGCGCGAGGGGGACGAGGAACGCTGCGGAGGGGGAGGAGTAGGTGGAGTAGGTGGGGTTGTCGAACGATGAGCCAGCCCGGGTTGACCAAAAATGCTCAGACAATTTTCATCTTTGCAAGAGAGCTAATCATACAATTAGCTCATAAGTTTCATAAGTTTAGAAAATTGCATGAAAAGTCTGAGATTAGTGATCTTGGAAATTATGGAAAATAGATGACTAGGATTTTTCCATAAACCGAAATTATTGGTTTCTTTTATTTAAATTTTTCAAATTATTGGTTGTGTTTGTAACAGAAAAAAAAGACAAAAACCTTCGTTATTCAAAGGACTGACTGTCTCGTATTACAAATGCATTGGAAACAGGGGAGAATTTAGGAGGAGCGGGGGGGGCGCTCCTCCCAAACAAGTAGTTTCACTTTATTAATATCTATAAAAAATTAAATACTAACCAATCATACTCCATCAAACTAACAACCTATTTATTTGTAAAGTGTTGAAACTACTTGTAGTTTCAACACCAGAACATTTTGAATAAAACTTAGAATACATTTAATCTCATTCTGGAACTAACTTGCGCAAACCGGTGTACACTAGATCTATTGAGACTAGGAGATATTAGAGTAAGGTTAAGATTGGTATATACTAAGAAGTTGCTGGAATCTATCCGGCCGAAAATAAGATAGCGTGACGAACAGACGGTGTCCCTTATCTGAAATTACTCTATGAGTACAGTAAACAAGAAAAAACTCATCTGGTGCGACCAAAAGTCTCGAACAGACCTTAACTAACCTAGAATTAGACAAAAATTAGAATGGAATTAGACAAATACAACATTTTATAAAAATGTTATATGACAAAAACTCAGTAGATATGTCTCTACGCCTCAATAGATCAGATCCAATATTCCGAACAAAATGAGAACTACCCGGTATAGGAAGAAGACGTCGAACAAGCGACGACATACGACTAGGAAGAAATCTAACAATTGATTTCATGACAGTACGACAAAATCGAGATCAAACTTTTGCATTTAGGATACTACCAGCAGTAAATTTAAATTTTCATTTACTGACATAATATTTGAAAAAATATTTTCAGATAACTTTTCATGGCGCTAAACCCATTAATTGAACAATAGCGACTGATAAAAACAACATTTGTCGCTTTCCTTGAATTAGCTGTAAATTAAATAGCATCTTGAAAAAACATTAATGAATCATCTCAGCTTCGTCACATCATCTCAGCTTCATCACCTAAAACATAGCAGCGAAATTCAAAAGCTAGCAATCATCAAAATTAACACCTAACCTTAACGCTCTAATTTTATACTACCAAGGCTTATTCTTAGTTTCACTTAGTTTAGTTTCATTTAAATTACAGATCATCAAGGCTTCCCTTGGATCTTTAAATTAAACTATATATAAATTTTTAAATTTGTAATTGTTTAAATCTCTGATCATCAAGGCCCATCCTTGAATCAAATAGAAAAATTTTGTTCTCCCCCTTCACATTTAATTAGTGTCTAACGACCTCAAACGTCGATTCACTATCCAACCCTTTTCAAAGACCCAGAATTGACAAAAATTTTTCAAAAAACTAACCGTTTTAATTAAGCTAAACAGTGAAGAATTTACTCGGTTACTCGTCGTTCACTTGATCCCACTCCTCTTAGATGACCCAGGCTAAAACACTTAAACGTAGTAAGTCAGAAAATAGTACCTAACGAACTACTTGCGTTCTACATATACCTGAACCTTGTGGTATAATTTAGTTTCAATTAAATAACAGATCATCAAGGCTTCGCTTGGATCCTTAAATTAGACTATATATAAATTTTTAAATTTCTAATTGTTTAAACCTCTGATCATCGAGGCCTATCCTTGAATCAAAAAGAACAATTTTTTTCTCCCCCTTCAAATTTAATTAGTGTCTAACGACCTCAAATGTCGATTCATTATCCAACCCTTTTCAAAGAACCAGAATTAACGAAAATTTGTCAAAAAACTAACCATTTTAATTAAGCTAAACAGTGAAGAACTTCGGTTACTCGTCGTTCACTTGATCCCATTCCTCTTAGATGACCCAGGCTAAAACACTTAAACTTAGTTAGTCATAAAATAGTACCTAACAAACTACTTGCGTTCTAATTATACCTGAAACTTGTGGATCGATTTACTATTCTCCAACCCTTGATCACAAATCGCAACCCTTAAGTAAGATTAGGTAGGTCAAATTCTAGCTTAAAATTAGTCACGAGAAAGTACAAATCATTCTTCGGGATCGATATACGCTTTTTTCTCCGACGCAAATATACGACCCAAGTTAAGATAACCACAAAAATTCGTAAGAACTAACAGTTTAAGGCATTAGAATCAATAACCCAGTTTTTGCATCCATCATCCTAAACCTTATGTCAAGAGACAATTTAGGAAACAAACAAACAACCATTACACACAATTATTTAACTAACGTCAAAAAATAAGACCTCGTAATCACACCACACAGAAAATCAGTAGGATATATAAGAACAAAAAGAAAAATACTAAGAAAAAAGAAAATAAACAAACAAAAACAAATATTGGGAAAAGATTTTCAAAACAAAGAAACGCAGTCTCAGAATCAGAAACAACCGTAATACGCAAACATCATGATTTAAAAGACTCAATAAACAAAAATGACCAAATAGACGACCAACTATATTTCACAGTTTCAGAAACCACGTCACCAGCATCAGTAGAAGGCGATCGGAAAATAATAAATTGCTAAACAAACAAATCAATACGTTTGTACAATTAGAATCAACCAATAAGACACATTGAAAATTACACATAAACAGTAATACAACACAAAAATGATTCGAAATAAAGATAACTCAGAAAATTCAGTACATCCATTTTTTTTAATATCACAATCAACTGAACTTTGCGGACAGAAAAATTTTTGTAAAAATCAATTGCAAACTTATTCGAAAAAAGAGAAAGCCCGTGCATAAAAGAATTTCCCGATGTAAAAATCAAAAGACAACTTCTTGATCACTATATCAAAGGTATATGTAGTCTCACATCACACTATGGAATCTACACAATAGAAATCAGATCACCAAATGCTTTTCATGACAGATATCTCATTCAAGTTGACGATGTCGTTATTGCATTTTCAAAAGTTTTTACACAATACATCAAAAACATACAACACCAAAATTCACAAAGAGCAAACTTGATATTTACAAACGATGTATTC